TGTTTAAAACAAGAAATTTCGTTACATAGTCCGTTATATTGAGACTTATTTTTGGCATAAAAAGTGATCCAATTGGAGAATGATGTCTGAATCAAAGTTGTAGCCAGATGAGTTAGCTTTCCAATGCATTTTGAATCGCCTCAATCGAACATCGAAATACAAAGTTATGATAAAAACGCTGAAAGAAGGTGCAGCTGCCTGTTTAAAACAAGAAATTCCGTTACATAGTCCGTTAAAATAACAAATTCCGTTAGTTTTCCGTTAAAAACAAGAAATTCCGTTACATAACCACTTTTAATATATATATTTATTTTTTTTTATTTTTTTTTTGACTTTCTTTAAAAATACTTAAATATTTATTTACTTATTTTTTACAACATTATTATTTAATATTATATACTATATTTGACTTTAACCAAAAAAAAAGTCTTCTAAAGAATAACAAATTATTCAGAGAACGTTTCTTATAGAAATAAAAGACATTGGAAACAATATTAGAATTCCTTAAAAACTGCATTCAATCCTTAATTTTAGGGACAAATTTTATCTTTCATTATACATTACTATACATGCGAACACATTAAATGGGGAATCCTTACCATTACTCTGTTTAATTTAAATAAAAATTAAAATTTTAATAAATTTTGATAAAAATTAGTGGAATGTGATTGAAAAATTGTGCGTCTCATTAAATTTGTGAATAAAATTAATCGTGAACTTCGACTCGACTTTTAATTAACTTTTGTTAGTTGAATCAAACCGACGAAATAATTACAATTAATTATTACTTAAGTAAACCCATAAATAATCTCGAATAACATCGGCAATCTGAAGACCGACTTTAATAAAGTTTGAGCCACATCAAAATTTTTATTTTTATTCTTCTATTCATTTTCAACCATACATTTTTCAATAAAATAATATTTTCCATCACATCAATAATTGTTCTTTATTTTTCAACCACACATTCTCTATCAATATATTATTCCAAAATACAATAATGTGGTTCAAATACACCCTAAATAAAGTTTAAACTCTAATAATCTAAAACTAATATAATTAAAATAAACGTTAGCACTCCTATCTTCTTCACTGTCTGCCAACAGGAAAGAGAAAATGCAATAAGTATTAACCTAAACAGATACTGTAGTATATAATTTAAATGCGTTTTAGAGTTTTAAATGCAGTATTATAAATCATAATAGGAAGGAGTGGTTTGAAGGTTAGCTGTATTGGGCGGGATTTTCGGCGGTCAAACCTCCAACCGGAGTCATTCTTATTCCCGGTTCGATTCAGTTAGACCTAAACTCGATACAGTGGTCAGTGGTCGGTCCACTGTCTCTTTTGAGCCCCTGAGCCAGGGCTCAGCAACTCTGCCTTTGATTACAAACCCTCCATTGCCACCACATGTAAAGCTTGAGACCCACACAAATTGTCAGCGTTTTAAATGCAAAAAAATAATCCCATTTCTTGCATATCGGTGTAGATATATACACAAATAGACCGTTCATATGTTACTGTTCATATGTCTTTCTGTCACTGTCTATTTATCTAAAGCCCAGTTTTTTTGACTTCTTTTTAAAAATCTCTCTCTCTCATTGGAACTGTAAGAAAGAAATAGTAGGTAGAGAGAGAAAGCAAAAGATTTTTCAAGAGAAGAGTTTGAAGAATCAAATAGTCATTGCTCTCATTTATAGAGGTATGTTAACCAAGAAAGTTTGTTTCTTTTATTTCAAAGCAACATATAAAAATGTGTAATCCTCGGTAACGCTTAGAATCCCGATTTTTTTTTCTTCTAAACCCAATATCTATTTAGTGCACTGGGTATGTATGCATGTGAAGCGAATTTCATTTGAAGTTCAATGAAGTTACAGCAGAAATGGTGGATCGATGTAACAGGGTTTTGGTTTGTGCTGTGCTGTTTTTCTTGCTAATTGGTTGTACAGTAGAGCAGCAATTCTTGGTGTCAAGGCAAGAAAGATTAGCTCTGCTTCAACTGAGATCTTCATTAGGGTTGAGGGCGAAAGAGTGGCCCATAAAATCCGACCCGTGTATTTCCTGGGTGGGTATCCAATGCACGAATGGGCGGGTTACAAGGATCAACATTTCCGGGTTCAAGAGGACTCGGAAGGGTAGTCAAAACCCTCAGTTCTCGGTGGATTCCCTTCAGAGTTTGACCTTTTTATCCTCATTCAATGCTTCGAATTTGGCGCTTCCGGGTTCTATTCCCGAGTGGTTTGGTCTGCGACTTGGCTCACTCCAAGTGCTTGATCTTAGGTCTTGTTCGACTGCTGGTGCTATTCCATTCACTCTTGGCAATTTGAGTAGCTTAGCTGAACTTTATTTATCTGATAATAATCTTACTGGTATAGTTCCTACAAGTTTAGGTCAGTTGTCGCACCTTTCTATACTTGATCTTTCACGGAATTCCCTCACAGGATTGATTCCAGGGACTTTTTCAGCTCTCAGGAACCTCACTTTGCTTGACATGTCTTTGAATTTCTTGTCCGGGGCAATTCCTCCAGAAATTGGGACTTTGTCTAGGCTGCAGTTCTTGAATCTTTCAGGCAACAGTTTGTCCTCTTTGATACCTGCCCAACTCGGTGACCTTTCCAGTCTGGTTGACCTGGATCTTGGTTTTAATTCACTATTGGGATCGGTTCACCTTGATTTAAGAGGGTTGAAAAACTTGCAGAAATTGATAATTGGGAATAATTTCCTATCTGGAACATTGCCTGATGATTTGTTTTCTCCTTTGATTCAGTTGCAGCGTGTGGTATTGAGCCATAATGCTTTCACTGATGACTTTCCATTTGTGCTGTGGTCAATGCCCCAATTGAGGTATCTCGATGCCTCGAGAAATAACTTTACTGGTACACTGCCCAATCGTAGTTTGAATGCTAATGCCAGTGTTGCGGTATTTAACATTTCGCAGAATTTCTTTTATGGAAATCTTACATCTGTAATAAGGAGATTCAGTTTTATTGACGTTTCGGGTAATTATCTCCAAGGTAGGGTTCCAGGTTATGCGCTTGGAAACACATCTTTAAGTAGGAACTGCTTACGGAATGTGGCAAGTCAAAGGAGTGTCAGTGAATGCACATCATTTTATACTGAGAGGGGATTGGTGTTTGATAATTTTGGACTGCCAAATGGAACTCAGCCGCATCCACCTAAATCTGACAAAAAGAGCCACCGAACAGTAATAATTTTGGCTTCTGTTTTGGGGGCTGCTGGGCTGATTGCACTTTTGGCTATTGTGTTTATACTGCTGATTGTATGCAAGCACACAAATGGTGCAACAAACCAGAGAAGCATTGGCATGGGACCTGTTCCTGCAAATGGAAGTTTACCTCCCAGAGCAGTGTGGGATTTTTCTAGTTTGGGAGACACATTTACCTATAAGAAAATTCTTGATGCTACAGGTGAATTCAGTGATGTAAATCTGATCAAGAACGGTCATTCTGGTGACTTCTTCCATGGTATCCTTGAAGACGCAAACCCCATCGTCATAAAAAAAATTGATTTGCATTCATCAGTTGAAAAGGAAGCCTATATGTCAGAATTGGACCTGTTTAGCAAGGTTTCTCATCAAAGATTGGTACCTCTATTGGGACACTGCTTGGAGAACGAGAACGAGAAGTTTCTCATTTACAAATACATGCCAAATGGAGATTTATCCAGTTCATTATTCAAGAAAACAAATTCAGATGATGGCAGTTTACAGTCACTGGATTGGATAACGAGATTGAAAATTGCAATTGGAGCTGCTGAAGGTTTATCTTACCTACACCATGAATGTACCCCACCGTTTGTTCACAGGTATTCTTGGACTTGGTTGCATTGAATTCCTTTCAATTCCATGTTTTCCCTTTTTGCCTCAAATTACTACTTGACACTTCATTTTACATGTTAAGCTCATTTCATGGTGAATATTTGGAGCTTTATGTGTTGGCATGCATTGATAAGTACTTAACCTAATGTAATAGACGACTCATTCATAGATAAAATACGAAAGGAATTAGAACGCATGAATTGAATGTTATGCTCTGGTTTTAGTTCTAGTTTGTCGCCCTAGATAATACACATGACACTGCACATGGATCTAATTTGTAAATATTCATGTAAACTAGAGGGCATAGTGTATAGAATGGAGGAAGTTTGTGTTGGGTGCCGCAGTTGCTGTCATTTAATATATTTGTATTTAAAAAATGTTTTCTTATTGGAAACTAGGAAGTAGAAGCAAATCAATAATAAGAATGATTGCTAGTAATTACTACTGGTTTTCCTCGCAACTTTTGGCTGGTAATGGGGTGATTGAAGACTGTCAATTAACCTAACTTTAAGAAATGTTTGCCTTCAAGTGAGGCACAAATCTCATAAATTTATATGTTTTAGGTCATGTCCTTGCAATCTTTACCTCCCACATTTTAGGTGGTGATTATCCTCATGTCCGTTTGTTTGTAGTTAAATGACCATACATCATGGGGATGCAGATTTACTGCATTTTATTAGATTTGTTGAGAACAAAAATGAACTATTGTAGAGCCATCTGTAAAATTAAACTGCATTGGCTACAATAACTTGCTTAGTTATTCAAGAAACCAATTTACTGAGAGATGATTTTTCTTGTTAATTAAATCAGCTAAAATTGTTACACTTTCAGTGACCAACTTCTTTTACTTTCTTAATGAATGTAAGACAACTTTTGAGATCTCAGATGAACACTAAAATTAGGCTTAGTACACTATCACTGTTGTATAGGTATGCAAAAATTTATCAAATACTTCCGCTCTAGGTATGCAAGTCCACATAAATTTTTATTATTTTGTGGTGTTTAGAAGTTACATGTTCTGTGCAACATGCTTCATGAAATCTATATTTGTTAACAACCTTTTTTCTAAAATTATTTTCCCTGGTTCTGGTTTACTGTGTCTAATCACAATTGAAATATTTAACAGCGATAGTTATTTGTTTTTATTCATAAAGGGACATTCAAGCCAGCAGCATACTACTTGATGATAAATTTGAAGTACGGTTAGGAAGCTTGAGTGAAGTTTGTGTTCAAGAGGGGGACACTCAACAAAACAGGATTACAAGGTTACTGCGGTTGCCACAGTGAGTATTTTTGTCCATCAAAGCTACGAATTGTTTCTTTTCTTTTTTCTTCTCAATATTCATTTGTTATAGCTTTTCAAGGGCACGTAGGAGACTCTGACCACATTAACATGTTTGGCTAAGCTTAAAAAGAAGTAAAAGTTACTTTTAAGCTTCTTTTTATTCAAACATAACTTCAAAAGTTAATTGTTTCACTAACACTTATTTTTCGTAACTTACTTTCTAGAAAAGTAACTTTTAAGCTCCAAACATGCTAGAATATTTGTTTGGCCTACTTGTATCAAAATAAAAATGAAGTTCACTACTGAATTTCTTTCTCTGTTATCAATTTTGGGATCAGCTAATCAGTTTTTAAGACAAAACTTGAAAGAGCTACTTTTGTTTGTGATTTATGTGAAGTTATTCTCGTACATCTTACTCATGTAACCGACCCAAATTTATTAAGAAAAAGGCATAGGTAGTTGTTGTATTCTTGTACAGTTTACTCATACGCTTAATCAAGGTTCTTACTGTTATCCTTTCCCTATACACAGGACATCTGAGCAAGGTACTTCAGGTACGGGCAATTTCTTTAACTGTAGTTCTCTTATCATTGTTTGTTTCCTTTATATATTCTCCATTTCTCCTCTGTAATTGGTGGCAGTAAAATCCTACCGATTACATTTCCTTGCCAAGATATATTCTCCATTTCTCCTCCGTAATTGGTGGCAATAAAATCCTACCGATTACATTTCCTTGCCAAGACAATGCTATATTCATTCTATCTGGATTTATAAGTGGGATTGATTCTACTCCAACGATCAGATAGTAGAATATATTACGGAAAGTCTCGTTGTATCATCTTGAAATACATAGCAATTCATAGTTAGAAGGCAACTGCCGAAGAGAAAATTTGCTATATTTTTGGTACTTGAAGAGTTCTTTTCTTGTCCATATAAAGCTTATTGGTTCAAGTTTCAGTATGACACTGTTGCTTTCTTTGATGGTTAGCAGAAAGCTAACCTGAAAGATCCGACTCCAAAAACATTAAATATCGGTTATTGCTTCATGTTCTGATTTATTCCTGCTATATTCCTTTAAATAACAATCTAATATTTGATGAAACTTCAATTGAGCTCTTCAATCAGGCAGTTGTTTGAGCACATTTTACTGGGACTATCCCTTGTCTTAGAATTTATAAGCAGACAGAAATTTCCCAAAAGAAGTACCATTTATGAGGAAACATAATGTGATCTTGCATTTAAGCCCTTGTTTGATCCCCATTTTGAGAGAAGAAATGCATTTTTGAATAGTGGTTTTTGGAGAATGTGTGGTTAAAAATTATGAAAAAGTTTTCGATTTACATGTAATATTATTTTATTGGAGAATGAATAATTAAAAATGAGTTTTGAAAAAATGAATTTTCAGATAAATGGGGCTCAAATATCCCTAAAAGTTCGACTGTGCTTCATAATTTTGTCTATTTAATTTGATAGTGGTGGTTAAAGATCATAATGATGTTTGCTCTGAGAATGAAAAATTCTTAAATTTTTACTTGGTCTGATGCATATTCGCAATGATGTTTACTCTCGGAATGGAAAATTCTTAAATCTTTACTTGCAATGATGCGTATAAATATTCTTTTTGTTCAAAATGGCTAGGTATGACCAATACAACGTGTGCCTATGATGTTTACTGCTTCGGAAAGGTTTTGCTTGAGCTCGTAACAGGCAAGTTGGGTATCAGTTCATCAACTGATGCCACCACGAAGGAGTGGTTAGAAGCTACATTGCCTTACATCAGTATATATGATAAGGAACTCGTGACAAAGATTGTCGACCCTTCATTAATTATAGACGAGGATCTGCTGGAGGAAGTATGGGCCATGGCAGTTGTTGCAAGATCTTGCCTTAATCCCAAACCCACAAGACGACCCCTAATGAGATATATTCTTAAAGCTTTGGAAAACCCTTTGAAGGTTGTAAGAGACGAGCATGCAAGCTCAGCAAGGCTTAGAACTACTTCCTCAAGAGGGTCGTGGAATGCTAACCTATTTGGCAGCTGGCGTCAAAGCTCTTCAGATGTGGCGGCCATGCCCGCCATACCTTCTCAAAAAGCAGAACTTGTTAACAGTTTCAAACAGTCGAGAACAACAGGTTCTCAAGAAAGCGGACAAAACGATGAAGGATATGGTCATTCTTTCTCAACCAAACAACATTCCAACGAGATCTTCCCGGAACCCTTGAATGTGCAAGATGTAGAGCGAGAAAACGAGGACTAAAAGGAAGATTATACTACTTCATTCTTTGTCAATAACATAGCAGTCTCCACATTTGGATGTCTTGCTTGTTGGTTCTTCCCTGTAATGTTTTATCTTCTGTCGGGGTTCTCTGGTCAATCCTTCAGTGTACGGGTCGCTGGTCGGTCATGTTGGACAGTGGAAAATTCAAATTGTTTGCAGGTTTTAGACTCGCCTTTTCTGAGGATGGAGACACAGCAAGGGGTAGGTAGCAGTTGCTTTTTGTGCTTCCATCTGTTTGAAGGCTTGTTTTCAGTTGAAACGAGCTACAATTTTTTGTAATTCATATTTTCTGTTGGGCTCTCTTATGAATTGTAAATTATCATGCTGTGTAATTCACAAGACTTCATTGCTTCAAATTCCAAATTAATTACATTAAAATTCTTTTTTTAAAATGTTTTTTTTTCCCTAATGTCTTTTATTGAACAAAGGTCGAATCCGGAATTGATCAAATCAGTTGGCACGGTTCGAGTCTGGTCTGGGTCGGGTGATTTTTGGGTGAATTTGGTTTAGATGTCTAGTTCTAATTCTAGTTGAGATTGGGTGATTCGAGAAGAAGAAGAAGAAGAAACCCCACTCCTAGCCGCCAGTGATATCACAAAATATTAGGGTCCGTTTGATTGTAAGGGTGAAAAATGAGTGGAAAGAAAATGTTTTACAGGGAAAAAATTTTCCTAGAAAATGTTTTCCTGGGAATTGTAATTAATTGTGTTTGAATGGTATAATTTTCTACCTGAAAAATGTTGAAAGTTTGGTGTCCGTTTGACTTTCTTTTTTTATAAAAATTGTCCATTAAAGTGATAATTTTTCTACCAATACATCTAGAATTTGTTCTAATTACTAAAAAGTAAAAAAAAAAAAAA